ACACGTAAACAATCAGAAGAAAGCACTGTACGCCGTGCCCAGTACATCGGTGTCAGTTCTGAAATTAATGGAGTTTGAGCACCGTTTAATCTGTATGGCTTCATGATACAGCCTTGCCCTGAAATTGGGTTCCCTGACAAGTACTTCCGGATTTTTGAAGTTAAAACTGTGCTGTTGTTCTTGGCTGTGTTGGTGCAAAGCAGTTTTCTCCTTTTTGTCATACTTGTGTGACCGTATTCGTTCCCCTAGGTAGCGTTTGGTATGACCTATATAGGCAACATTGCAATCCAGACAGTTTATCTTGTAAACAACACCGGAGGTCTTTTGAGTTGGTACTGTACTCTTCAATTTCGAGAAAAACCGTTTATTCGAATTTGGGTTACTGAAAACTGGAAAGAAGTTATAGGGCTTCCAGCACTTTTTCAATTTTTCACTGAGTCCCCTTATATACGGCATAAATAATAAGGTAAATTTCCTATAAATATTACAGCCATTTTATCTTGATATATATATATATATATATATATATAGGAAATTTACCTTATTTATTCAGCTTGCAGCCATAAAAAATCGAAACATTAGTTCCTACGCATCCGCAACGTAAAGCTGAATAAATAAGGTAAATTTCCTATAAATATTACAGCCATTTTATCTTGATATATATATATATATATACACACACACACGAGTCGCTTTTACAGCGCTCTTTGGGGCTTTACGACGCCTAATCACCACAAAGCTCGATCTTCCCACAGGTCATCAGGGAGTTGACACTCCCTCATCTCGTTTAACACACCCTGTCGCCAACCTCTCACTGGGCGTCCCCTACGTCTCCTCCCAGGAGGAACCCAATCAAGCATCTTTTTTGGCAGCCTCTCTTCCGTCATCCTATTGACATGACCGTACCAGACAAGTTGTTTGGTCATGATGTCAAACACGATGTCATTTTCGACTTCCATTATCTGACGTACTCTATCATTACGGACCCGATCTCTCCTAGAAATTCCTGCCGACCTTCTCCAGAAATCCATCTCCGTTGCTCTTAGCATATCCTGTGTCCGTTTTTTCAGCTGCCAAACTTACATCCATATGTTAATATACTTTTAACTACAGCGTTGTATATCCTCCTCTTGTTATCTTTGGAAATCCGCTGATCCCAGAGGATGCCATTTAACATCGTTATAGCCTTCCTTGCTAAGGTGTTCCTTTCCCTGATAGCTTGATCCGTCCTTCCATCCTGGGTCAACCGCACTCCCAAGTACTTATATTGCTCGCAGCCTTTGATCTGCTGCCCATCCTCCAACTCAATGCTTTGCTGATCACCGCCAAAAGTCATCTTCTCAGATTTGGATATGCTGACTTCCAGACCCCACTTCCGATACTCTTTTACTAACTTGTGCATCATGTATTCCGCGTCATCTTGATCTTGAGCAACCACCACCTGGTCATCAGCAAAGCACAGAGTGAACAGAGTTTCAAGATCACCCAAGGGGACACCCATACCAGAACATTTCTTTTTCCATTCTTTTAGCACGCACTCGAGACAAATTTTAAATAATGTTGGCGGCAAACAACATCCCTGTTTTAAACCCTTAGTCACATAAAATCCCGCTGACAACCCCCCATGGCACTTAACTTTGGTAAAACTCCCTTTATTAAATCGCTTAACAGCGTCAAGCAACCCCCAGTTAAAATTCGATTTTTCCAAGGCCTCCCAAAGTTTCACCAACGGCACACTGTCATACGCCTTCTGGAGATCCACAAAAATCAAATGCAGTTCCTGAGCTACGGCCATTTTCTTCTCAATGACCTGGACAATAACAAAGAAATGATCAGTTGTAGACCTGCCAGCTCTAAAACCAGCCTGCTCCTCTGCTTCGCGATCCTGCCATTTGTCCTCGATCTTCGCTTTCAGTATCTTCCCGTACACTTTGCTTATTGTCCCGGTCTCTGAGAGGTTGTTACAGTCGTCCGTCCTTCAGTTCTTTTTGTAGATGGCCTTGATCCAAGATTCCTTCCACTCCCTTGGTACCTCGTCACCCCTGATGCATTGTTGCATCAGTTTTCTGAGGCACCCAAAGAGCTTGGCAGTCCTGTACTTGACCAACTCGACAGGAATCCCACCAGGACCCGGTGCTTTGTCATTAATTAGCTCTTTAACCGCTTTAATTATGTCACAAGTGTGGATCTCCAAGTTGTTCATTCTTCCGTTGTCCGTGCTGTTGTCTCGAAAATCTGGGCACCTTTCCGTCAAAAGATTTTTAAAATGATCCCCCAGTTTTTAAGTGATATCGGAGAAACGATGTCGCGCTTCATGTCTCTGCGTAAACCTTTAATTAACTTCCAGCTCTCAGCACTTTTTCTCCCCCCTAGGTAGGTGTTAATTCTAGAACAGTTACTTTCCCAAGCTTCATTCTTCTTCCGTGTTATGAGGCTCCTAACTTTAGACTGAGCTTTCCTTTAAGCAACTTTATCTTCAGTCTTTTTAGACGACAGAAATATAAGATGTTTTTGCCTCTTAAGATTTATCTCGTCTTCAATTTCTTCATCCCACCAGTAAGGATGCTGGTATTTATTACTGGTTTTGTGAACACCTAGGGCTTCTTTCGCTGCAGAGTGGATACTATCTTTGATGAACTGATATTGCTCTTCTGTGGTACCCGAGAGTCCATCCCCCAACTTCTCATCTAAGCGTTTCCGATACAGAGCCTCCTTGAGATTAACTTTCAAATTATTATCTACCTGTCGGGAATTGAACCTGGGACCTCCCTATCAGGAATCGAATGCGCTACCTACTGAGCAAACGAGGCTTCTGTATGAGAGGGGCGAATTTGCACTGTATAAGTGAATATTTTTATTGTTGAATATGCGCGAGAACGAATTGCTGAACATTTTTTGAATTTGGGAAAACTGGATAAGGGCAAAAACTAATATTTATCATGGATATTTTAAAGATACTATACCTACTTTCAAAAGTACCTTTGTTGTTCATGAATATGTGAAAAAATTATGTACATTTTAATAATATGTCCCCCTTTTTTTCTTTTTCTTTTCTTAAGTATTATTAACATGCATCAATTTTTTATAAGAATGTCTTAACTATTTTAATAAAGATAAGTTATTAAAATCTTCTCGAACTTTTGAAAACTCTGGTTTATTCGTTCAGAACAATATGTTTTTGTATCCAGTTTTTGGGCTATACTTTTTTTACAAAAAATCTTCAGGGGACATTAGAATTTTTCGCTTAATTTCCTTGTAATAAAAACTACAAAGGTATTTCCTGTTTGGTCAATTTAGCGAATTTTCCGTTCAGGCATTCTCCCCCAATTTTTTTGATGTTCCCAAAACTTTAACATAAAATATAGATGCTCGAAGAGGTGCCAAAGGAAAACAGTGATTTTTTACGTCAAAAAGTCAGAAAAAAATTCAGTGACGACAGTTTTGATTGTAAAAAATCGTAGTTTCAAAACGAAAAAAATTTGTCTTCCTTGAATTTCTTTCTGACCTTTTTTTTACGTACAAAATCTATGATTTTTTACATATTTAAATTTTTTTCCTGGTTTTCTGTACGTAAAGATTTTAGTTCAATCCCCCAATTTTTTTTTTTACGTCTTTGATTACAAATTTTTTACGTTAAGTTCTAAGACTCTGATTTTTTATGAGTTCTTTTACGAACATCTTTCGTACTCGTAAAATTTACCAGTTTTAATTTTTTTTTTTTACGAATTATATTACAATATGTGCTATTAGGGCCGTTCTATCTGCAAATGTATAGATCCTTTCAGCCAGCACTCCTGTGTACAACTTTTACAATGTATTCAAATAAGTGATGGGTCTGTAGTTTTAGGGGTTATCTGTCTCTCTTGTCTTCGGTAGCAAATAGGTTACTCCGCGGGTGAGCCATTCAGGGCCTTCCACTAGTTTATTTAATTCTTTGGCTATGAGCCTATGTAGGGATCGGAAATGCCTTATCCAATAGTTCTGCACTTTATCTGGTCCTGGTGCCTTCCAATTTGCTGTTTTACCGATGACGCTTGTTACCTCTGCCTCTGTAATTTCGTTCCAGTCCATTTTGAAGTTTGATTCGAGCTCTTCAATCCACTCTGCACCTCTATTTTGCTCAGCCTCACTCTCATGTATTCTGTGCCAAAAACTATCAACTTGCCCCAATTCAGGCGTCTTCCCGTTTCCACTAGCGACTTCACCTCGAAGTTTCCGGTAAAACTTCTGATTGTTTTGCAATTGTTGCTTTTGCTTGAATTGGTTCGTCCTTCGCTTGTAGCGCCGTATGCGTTGGGCAAGTGCTGATATCCGTTGCTTGGGATGCTCTGCTACCTCATTTACTTCCCTCAAGCCTTTTGTCTGATACACGGCTTTTATTTGCTCCACCTCTTGCTCATTAGTTCCATCTGCGCCCGAGTTTTCTAATATAGATAAGTGCCTCCTGAGCCCAAGTATATTTGCTTCAATGCGTTTCACCTAGTTTGGGATTTTCGGGGTCTCGTGCCTCATCCTCTGCTTCTGTGAAGGGTTTTCCTCCTCCAGGACTATCTTTACTGCTGCGTACAAAAGATAGCTTATGACTTTGATGTCACTTGCTCCTCCACTTTCCTGTATTAGTCTTCCCAGCGCATTATCAGCCTGTTGTACTGTCAACCATGCTTTCTTTATGTTGTGCAGCCTATCAAGGTGGGCCCGGTTCTCCTTTACAAACTGTCCTTGGTTCTCGTATTCTTCTCTGATCCGCATCCAGCCTTAGATACGATAGAGCTCTTCCATCCACTTTGCATCTTCATTGTGCTCACAATAGTAGAGCGGATAAGGGGGAAAAGTTCCCAGAATCGTGCACTTCTGGAAGAAAGCATGAAACTTTCAGGATATCATCTTTACCTATAGAAGGTTCAATTTCGCAAGTGAGCCCAAAATTCTGAGGCCATGGGGGCCGGGGGGGCAGGGGGCCCTGATTTCGCTATGTTTTGCCGAATTTTCGCGTTGGATCATCGTGAGAACGCCGTTAACAATGTAAAATGTAATCAAAACTTGTGTATATGTCATTAGTAGGTTCTCTCAAACAGTATCCTAAAATGCTATCACTGTCCGATCCCGGAGCACCCCTCAAAAGGCCTAAAATTCAAAATGGCGCCCATAATAAGGCCTCTGGAATATCGATTTTTTCACTTGTGCATATCCTGTCATGTGAGGTATCATTTTCCATGTAATTTGGGTCGCAGATTTCATATTTGAAGTCAAAACAACCCCCCGGTCAAAATTGGTGCCCCCAATCCAAGATGGCGTCCAAATTTGAAAGGCAGGAGGGTGCATTTTTTACAATTTTACGCGATAAGGCAAGTGATATGTCATTTCCTATGTAATTTTGGTCGTAGATTTCATATTTGAAGTCAAAACAACCCCCCGGTCAAAATTGGTGCCCCCAATCCAAGATGGTGGCCAAATTTTAAAGGCAGGAGGGTGCATTTTTTCAAATTGTTACGTGATAAGGCAAGTGATATGTCATTTTCTATGTAATTTTGGTCGTGCATTTCATTATTGAAGTCAAAAAAGCCCTCCGGTCAAAATTGGTGCCCGAAGTCGAAGATGTCGGCCGAATTTGAAAGGCAGGAGTGTGAATTTTTATGAGAAAAAAATCACCTGAGATGACAAGTGAGGTATCAATTTATATGCATTTTTAGTCAACAAAACGAATCTAAATGAAATGTAAAAAAAAATCTTTTACACAAAAATGAAACGAGATAATCAAGATGATTGCCATCATGGCTGACAAGTGAAAAATGATGAGCCACTAATAGTGAGGTGTCTTGCTGATTACTGCACAAAAACTCTGAACTCAATTTCAGATGCCCTAGACTCAGAGGATGAACAATTAATAAGTAAGTACCGAAAATAATTTAGAAAACTTTCAGTCGGTTTCAGTTGGTGGGTCTCTACTCCATCGAGTGCGATCGAAGCACAGGCATACTTATGAATCCATTGCACAAACCTATGTTCCATCAAATTGATGAGCAGACACCAATGTTTCTTTGCGTTTTCGAAGTGATGTTAAACGCGCAAAATCCGAGATGATCGCTGTTCTTGCATGCGTTTACTGGTTGCGATTCAACCTTTCACATCCATAAAATAGGAACAGCAACTTTATTCTGTACGCTTTTATCTGATCCTTACCTACAAGAATCTAAAGGAAGGTTCTTGGAACCTAATCAAAATCATGAACGGATATAAAGAGCTGGAAAAGAGTAAATCGATGGTGAAACTGCTTAAATACTATTTCGGTTTGCGGTGTTGCAGACTTCTTGTCATACTTCCATTCCTTCATTAAAAAATACAGGAGTCATATCTTGAAAACTTTGCTTGTTTTCACTCTCTATGTGAGGAATATTCTGTAAAAATTTCAAGCCATGATGTTGGTTTGGCCCCCTTTCAAAAAATAAAATAGGAACGAATATTTTGAAATCCTGCAACCAAGATACGCACTTTTACTGTTTACCCGTCGAAATATTACTCCTCAATGGTAGCCAAAAAAATGTGACTTTCGAAGACCTCCGTCATCACATATCGAAAGAAAAAGTTCCAGCTTTCAAAGTCTTCTGATGGAGAAATTAAACTCGACACCATCAGCAGTGAAGTAGGTAACATTAATTTAGGAGCTACTTTTATCCTCAACTTAGGATGGGATGAAGTGATCTGGATGCTTGTTTGTCTTTGGGGATGGATGAATAAAAACAAGGAGCTTCATCCTATTTAAGTGACTTGCCTCCAGCTCCCGGAATCCCCGCTTGAAATTATCCGGTGTGATTGGAAGGAAGGGAGTGACACCATGCTATACCTCAAAGAAAATAATCATTTCGCTCTTAGACTCATGCAGAAGTTCTGAAGACTCCAACTGTAAAAACTTACAGAACCGTAGGAGGAAAATCCTGAAGAGCCTGACTGGGAATGTGAATCAGCATGTGGTGATTAAGATTTTCTCCTATACTGACTGGAGAGGGTACGGCAGGTGCGTTGCGTGAAATGTCCTTATCTTTATTGAGAAATCATATGGGCTTAAAAATGAATAAAATAGCTCATTATAGATACTCCTGTTAACATTATTCCTACCGCGGACGGCCAAACTGATCACCCTCTTAATTATCTCGTATCATTTTTGTGTAAAAGATTTTTTTTACATTTCATTTAGATTCGTTTTGTTGACTAAAAATGCATATAAATTGATACCTCACTTGTCATCTCAGGTGATTTTTTTCTCATAAAAATTCACACTCCTGCCTTTCAAATTCGGCCGACATCTTCGACTTCGGGCACCAATTTTGACCGGAGGGCTTTTTTGACTTCAATAATGAAATGCACGACCAAAATTACATAGAAAATGACATATCACTTGCCTTATCACGTAACAATTTGAAAAAATGCACCCTCCTGCCTTTAAAATTTGGCCACCATCTTGGATTGGGGGCACCAATTTTGACCGGGGGGTTGTTTTGACTTCAAATATGAAATCTACGACCAAAATTACATAGGAAATGACATATCACTTGCCTTATCGCGTAAAATTTTAAAAAATGCACCCTCCTGCCTTTCAAATTTGGACGCCATCTTGGATTGGGGGCACCAATTTTGACCGGGGGGTTGTTTTGACTTCAAATATGAAATCTGCGACCCAAATTACATGGAAAATGATACCTCACATGACAGGATATGCACAAGTGAAAAAATCGATATTCCAGAGGCCTTATTATGGGCGCCATTTTGAATTTTAGGCCTTTTGAGGGGTGCTCCGGGATCGGACAGTGATAGCATTTTAGGATACTGTTTGAGAGAACCTACTAATGACATATACACAAGTTTTGATTACATTTTACATTGTTAACGGCGTTCTCACGATGATCCAACGCGTAAATTCGGCAAAACATAGCGAAATCAGGGCCCCCTGCCCCCCCGGCCCCCATGGCCTCAGAATTTTGGGCTCACTTGCGAAATTGAACCTTCTATAGGTAAAGATGATATCCTGAAAGTTTCATGTTTTCTTCCAGAAATGCACGATTGTTATGCTTATCCGCCCTACTACAAGGGGAACTTCCCAAGTTGCCGCCTCCGATCGGGCTGAAAAAATTCGCACAAACTCTTTGGATGGATTTATTGGACCCATGTTTTTTGTTTTTTCCCATGCGCCCTGGAAATCTCCCAAGAAAATTCCGAAAAGTTTTGTTTTGAGCGCTCGAGTCTATATACGCAGTTTAGCAGCTCTTCTCCCATATGAGGTGGTGGCTCTGCGATAGAGCGCTCGCCTCGCATACGGGTGGTCCCGGGTTTGAATCCCGGGCGTGACGACTTCTTTTTACAATCGAATTTTATATTCTCACACATTTTCTGCAACAGCACTTCACATCAAATCACATTTAATACATTGGCACTTAAAACATCAATTAATTTACAACTATCACCAAACCCAAATTCATCAATGATCAACAACTTCTTCGATTAGAAGTACTAATGCTTGTCTTTTTTTTTTCTTTCTTTTTGTTATGCGTGCGATTATCTCGCCAATCACTGTTCTTTCACATTGGCCGCCGACCCGCCCCTGCTCCCTTTCCCTTGCCAGGGTGTCTACAAGTCTGGAATTTCCGGAAAGTCCGGATATAGCACTCGACTTTTTAAGGGCTGTCCGGAAGTACTGTAAAAGTGCGGAAATTCCGCAAAAAGGTCCGGAATTTTTTCTATTTTTTGTCATTTTTGTCGCAATTTGAGCGAGAAATTGAAATTTTTCGAATTTCGTCAAGCAGAGGTATTGAAAAAGTACTGAATTTTTCTGTCGAGGAGTTACTAAAGGACTACGTGCAAAACGGGTCATTTGGGGCTCGGGGCGGATACCTTTGAGACTTGCCCTATTCACTCACCTAACAATGCCCCATCTTTTCCCAAAGTTCCAAGCCCCCCAAAAATTTTGGGGAGACGCGGCGGGGGGTCAAAGTTAAAAACCGGCAAAATTTTCGCGAATTTATTCCTCGAAAACCAAGAAGTTTTGGAAAACGCAGTTTAAACGAGCGTGTTCAGCGTGACGAGAGCTTTCAGAAAATGTATAACATCATAGGGTTTTGTCAACTTCAGCTCGAGTTATCGCCTCCGAAGCGCCGGAACGCTCAAAAAAGACCCCTTATTTTTTCACGTTTGGGCTGATTTAAAAAAAAAGCCATTTTTTTATTTTG